CGGCGGCCTGACGAGCAAGGGGGGAGGAGGGAGGGAGGGAGAGGGTGGAAAGCCCCAGGCGCTACCAGGGGAGCGCGGGGAGGGAGCGAGGGGGTGCATGAGAGCATCGGGCCTCAGAACTGCTTGGATTTTCAGCCCGAGTGGGGAGGGCTGAAAATCCTGCTTGGACTTTGGGCAGGGCGTTTAGTGCACAGAGCTTTGGGGGCTGCCTGAAAATGTCCACTGCCAAAATCCTGCTTGGATTTCCACAGAGACCTTTTTCAGCCAGCCCTCGGAGGCGAAGGGGAGTCCTCTCGACAGGCGGCAGCAGCAGCTTGCACTCCCCCCTGCTGGCTTCCCCAGTGGCTTTCCGGCAGGTGGCAGGGAAGATTGCAAATGGCTAACACATGACTGCGGGGCGCTCAGCAACTGGTCGTAATGGTGAACCAACTGCCAAGGGCCCAGATCACCATAACTTCAGGTACAGGTTGTAAGTCCCTTTGTTCAGCACCTTCGTAACTTTGAACAGTCACTGAACAAATGGTTGTTAAGCAAGGACTACCTGCACAGTGTCCAGTGCCTGACCCTATCCCCCCCCCTTTTCTCCCCTTGCAGGGTGGAGAAATTGCTTAAACACGCAATCTCTTCCTGAGCTGTTTTTCTCCGCAGCACAGCGCTTCCCCAACAAGGGCTAACTGCAAGTTAACAAGCTCAGCCCTCTGAGGTTAACTAGTGATTGGAATCAGCCCCTGGCTTGCCCTGCTGCCTGAAACTGACCAGACCTTAATCAGTTTCAATTGAAGGCTTTTGTTATCAAGTGAAGGAAATTATGGGTGCATTGGTTGGAAAATGAATTTAAAATACCATTCATATTTGCAAATGGTCACTATCCGAGGTAGTCACTAACCAAGGAGTGACTGTACATCAGTTTTGGAAGTGTCATCATCTTAATTAAGCTCGGAGAACGCCAAGGACGCCACCGTTCAACCCTGAGCCACACACATTCGCTTCTATTGGCTTTCCACATATCCAAAGAACATACTGTACATAGTTAAAAGAGTTCAATTTCTTTTACATAACTGGATTATAGTTAATGACTTTCTGATAAGACTTGCATTACATTTAAGAATAAATCCAGATTGATCTGGATGTATAATTCTACCTATAATTAATCTGAGACAATTGGCTAATAACTGGAGTATAATTTATAATCTTGTGCTTCATAATGAGACATGCCTGTATGAAGTAACCTTTTGAGAGATTTTTCCTAGCTTGGAAAGTGTTGAGCAGGTGGCGACTTGCTCAAGTGTTGAGCAAGTGTTGTTGTTGTTATTATTGTTGTTGTTGTTGTTAAATGTATACACCACTCAACTTACGTACATCAACCTGTCCTACCTGGTCAGGCAGAGAGGGCATGTTGCAGATCCCATCAGCGAGGGAAGGTCAGCTGGCAGGGCCCAGGAGGAGAGCCTTCTCTGCCGTTGCCCCGCCCTTTGGAATATTCTCCCCCCAGAGGCGCAGTGGGCCCCGACCCTCCCGGCTTTCCGAAAAGGTTTAAAGGCCTGCCTCTGCCAGCGTGCGTGGGGTGATATGAGTTCTACCCGTCCCT